AAAATGTGTAAGTTGGGCGAAAAAGTGCATGACAATTGGTTTCTTAAAAAGGAATTGTTATTAATGAATATAGAGCTACATTGGACGAACCTGATAAGATGATCCAGAAGAACTAAATGATTCATGTGAATAGTTAACCGACACGATTTGGTAGACAGCAGGGTGAGAGACAGAAACGGCTAGTGTTGTAGGTAAATAAAATTCAAAATTTATGAACATGTTAAAATAACTGCATAGTATTATTTTAAATTATTGTATAAGACAAAATAAGATGTGGCCGAGTGGTTAGAACGTTCGAATTCTGATCATGAGACCCGAGTTCGAATCTCACCATGGTCGGTTTGTCAGGAGGGAGACTTCCTGATGTTATCGGACTGGAGGGGTCGATCCCAGCACTTTTGAAAGTGCCTGAAAACCATACCACAGGTTGTGAGTGAAATTGGATAGATGGAACCTTTGGCAGCAGTTACGAGTTATAGTGGCCGAGGGCTTGGGCGTGCAGGCCTTCTTCAAATTATTGATCACGCTCTTTCCCAGAAACTATAACTTAGGTCTGCTCTTCATAGTTGCAGTATAAACCACAGGTGGGCTCTGTGGGTGTTGAATAAACACAAATGCGCCTGAGCAAGTGTCTGCAATAGGAATTGGCTAGCCGCCCTAGAAGAGGGGAATCCTCGAATACGAGTGGCCAGCTCCAGATACATACATAAGAGGTTCTTTGAATGGTACGAGCCGACAATGGTCACGTGGACGAGTGGTTAGAACTTTCGCTTTCCGACAATGATTCTATTTCATTCATTCAGTCGATTTGTCAGGAAGGTGACTTCTCGATGTTATCGGTCTGGAAGTGGCGATCTCAGCGTGTGGCAACTTTAGAAAGTGCCTGAAAATCATGCCACGGGCTAACCCAATTAGGTAGACGGAACCTTTGGGAACCGTCGATGATTGTGTTGGCACGAAGTCACAAGCCAGCGTGACCGAGGGTTTGAGCGTGTTTTAACTAAGGTCCGCTTAACATAGTTGCAGTATAGTTGCAGATGGGCCCTGTGGGTGTTGAACAAGCACAAATGTGCCTGAACAGTCGTCTGCAACAGGGACTGGCTAGCCGTCCTAGTAGACGGGAATCCTCGGATATGAGTGGCCAGCCATCCACAAGCCGATTATTGCCCTCGCAAAAACAACTTTCCAAGACACCATAGTAGTAGAAAAGCGCCTAGGCCCTCGAGATATTGATTTAATATATATATATATATATATATATATATATATATATATATATATATATCAATAAGAATATGAAACTGTAATAGTTGCCGACGCGTTTCCACATTGGACAAAACACGTTGGCAACTATTACATTTTTCCTATTGTCATATATATATATATAAACTTTCCCTGGCAATCCGTTTAGGTGAAACCTGGGTAGGTTTGTCTGGCTCACTAGCGCTTTTGTTAGTTGTTTACTCGTATCGGGGATTTTTCTTTGGGCTTCAAACCTTTATCTGTGCGATTTTTTGTCGACAAAAGTTCATGTTTGTAGTTCTTTCTTTTTTTAAAACCTTTTTTTCCCTCGAGATTGATTTGATTAGCAAATCAAAAATTCGAGGGTTTTTTGAAACGAGTTTAGTTATCTATATATATATATATATATATATATATATATATATATATATAAACTACAGTTCATCATTAACAGATGCATCTGTGGATGGAAACAGTTGTAGCATACCTACTGACGATAATGGGTATGTCCCCATTCACATAACTACAGTAGTAAATACTGTATGTTGATCTAGAGTTGGAGATTTGTCTCCAACCGTGCTGGTCAAACCCTTTGCCTCCTGGCAGAGAGGATTCCCAGACGAAGCTATGTCGAAGGGCGGAGTCTCGTCTCGGGAAACAGCTATTCGACTCCGTTTTATACGGGGTCGACGGGAATTTTGGCCGAGCTTAAGAGCTCGGACAGCCCACATTAAATTCGGCCTTATGCCACCTCTGACCGCGTAGGGCCGTCTCCAGTTGTGCTGGTCAACCTTTCTGCCTCCGGACAGAGAGGATCCCCAGAAGGGCAGAGTCTCGTCTCTAGAAATAGCGACCCGATCCTGTTTTATACGGAGTCTACAGGGAATTTTTACGGGGAATACCTTACATTAAATTCGGCCTTGTACCACATCTGACCGCGTGGGGCGGCTGTTAGATATCCTGCAGTTGGTGATTAATTGTGGAATTCACTTGACTCACTTCTAGCAGTTGACTACTTCTTCTACGCGCCACTGTGTTGTTCTTGTTCTAAGTATTATCGTTCATTATCAACCTTCGTTTGATTATTCTATTTAGTAACCTTCCCGAGGTTACAACAGAAACCTATATACATTAAAAGATAAACAGTGAGAACTAATATTAACTGCTGTATGCAACGTTAAAAATGAAAGAATAGTTAACAAAATCAATTACTAAAAGACTGATGAAGAACACACGGCATAGTGGATAAAGGCATTAGTTAGATCCAGTGACAGGACCCAAAGAGTGTGAGTTCAATACCTGGTTAAGGCGGTGGAGGGGAATTAACAGGAGATAACTGATAACTGACATCCATTAGACATGGCACGTGGAACTAGAACAGTCTACTCCAGCGAGCGAAATAAAGAGTTCAGTTCGGCATTCCAACCACTTGAAGAAGGCCGGAGAGTACAACGGTCGAAATGTTGTAAATATGGCGACAAAGATGAGGACAATAATTCGAATAATGTAAATAGTGTACATAATACCTCATCTCAGAAATATAGACAGATACTGATGAAAGTTATAGAATGTCAATGAGCCCATATTAACATGTAAAATAACAAAATAATTATTGAAATGTATGGGATATTGCGTTAATCAAATATCTTTCAATGGACTATATCTTTTAAATTTATTTAGAATTAAAAAAAAGTTCTGTTGAACTTGGCTTAATGACAAACGGCTCCCACAAAAACAGAAAAGAAAAAAAAGGTTTTATCATTATTTCTAGTAACGATAGACATTATGAGCTGCAACGATATATATATATATATATATATATATATATATATATATATATATATATATATATATATATATATATAATAATTTAACACTCAAGACGCGAAAAGACTGCTTAATGCTGGACGCAATCGTCAGGCCACGAATGCTGGATTTTTTTCCTCGGCTATATATATATATATATATATATATATATATATATCATCTAAATATGTCAAGAAAAGTCTCTCATCATCGGTTGGTTAGGACCATTTTTATGGTGAAACTATTGACTTGCATAATAAAATTTGTGACCGCCTAGCTAAGAATATAATGGGGCTAAATAGGCCTAGATATGCATAAAGAAGAGAATAAACAAACGATATGAAGTAAAAGAACAAAAAAGGTGATATGAAAATATTTAGATAGACAGATATGAATAGACTGAGGTAGATATAAAAAGATATGAACAGACATGGATGAATATGTAAAAACAGAGGCAGCATTGGTCTGATATGTAGAATTTTTCCTGCATATATGTATATTTTCTTGCTTATTTAAGATGATCTTCGCCCTCTCTAACCAAACACCTGTTCTGGAGTAACAAGGTGCCTCACACTTACGATTTCATTTTCAAGTCTTTTTTCACTGCTCTTTGGACTGCCGTAGCTGAAATTCCTCTGTCACGTGCTTATTGACTGAGTTGGATCTTTTCTAATTAATCCCTTTAGCTCTAAGTTGAAATGATGATCCCTTTTCCTGTTGTGACATCCTGATCCAGTCTTTCTTTCTACTGTTCTCTCTTTTTAAAACTTATTCACCGTTCTCTTGATGGTCGTTGAATGGAATTTGAAGATTGAAGCCAGAGTTTGAATATTGGTAGCATTATTGATCGTCTGAATGATCTTTTTCCTCTCACCATTGCTCATTTGGGAAGACATAGTGGGGCTATAAAGAAAAAGATTTTAACTTCTCATTCTAGCTAAATAACTCAAAGGGTTTTTCAGTGACTCTTACGACAAATGGTGTCAAGATGGCTAAACGTCTTATCTGAAAATCTGGAAAAAAGAAACTCAATTAGTTTAGTGTTGTTTTTTTTTTAGATTTTAGTGGGATGGACAATTATACTGTTACACAATTTTGCTGTTATACCCGGTATATATATATATATATATATATATATATATGTGTGTGTGTGTGTGTGTGTGTGTGTGTGTGTGTGTGTGTGTGTGTGTGTATGTTTGCGTATACACGCACACACACATATATATGTATATTTGAGAACTTCTCAGCACCCAAACACAGACACAAGCACACAACATGTACACACGCACACACACAGACATACACACTGTGTGTTGGAAAAAAACAACAAATGTGCCTGAGCCGATGTCTACATCAGGGATTGGTTAACCGCCCTAGTAAACCAGTGTACCCGTAGCAGACAGCCACTATGCATGTTGATTTAAAAATATTAACGACTCGAGAAATATACATTTTTATTCGAATGAGATTGAAATGTTCGTTTTATGTTAAATTTTTCATATTTGATATGTGGACATAATTTATGGAAGATTGTGTAGTTTCGGTCTCTTTGTCATCTGACAAAAGCGGTGCTGTGAAATTTAGCCTTCGATGCCAAGCCTTTACCTATATTCGAACACTGACTGCCAAAATTCAAACGATGAATAAATATAAACGAAGTGATCAATATATTGATACAATGTGAAGGTCGGTGAGACAGACACATAGATATAGAAAGAGAGAAAGATCGATACATACATATAGTAACATATATAGATAAGCCTACGTATACTGATTGCAGTAGCAGATATATTCGAACACACATTATGAATCGATAGACAGATAAATGAAAACATGGATAGATATTGGTAGCCAGGAAGTATTGCAAATTTTACAAGTATATAATTCCGATTAGAGTAGAAAAGTCGTGTTGCATCAAAACCAGCATTTTAATTCTTAGCATTTTCTTAAACAACCCCGAATAGATAGATAGATAGATAGATAGATAGATAGATAGATAGATAGATAGATAGATAGAAGCAAATTAATTTTCAGAAAAGAAGAAAAAATTAAACTCAACGGATATACATATATAAATACATGCCAGCTAGCTAGCTAGATAGCTAGCTAGATAGATAGATAGATAGAATCAGGGAGAGGGACAAAGACAGAGAGACAGACAGCGGGAGAGAGATAGTGAGAGAAAGGAAAGAATTATACAGACATAAATCAGAAGTGAAAAAAGAAAGAAAGAAAGAAAGAAAGAAAGAAAGAAAGAAAGAAAGAAAGAAAGAAAAATTCTATACTTACTGAATATACATACGATACATCCGTAGATAAAAAAAAATGCGCAGAATGAAAAGAAAGACTATAGAGGGACGTACACATAAGTAGATCAATAAATCCATTGTCAAATGGTGAAAAAAGTATTTAAATAAAATATAAGTATTTTATAGGCGAACTTAGAACATTATGGAGTGAAAATTTCAGAACAAATTCAGTCCAAATTAGATACAAATATAAATGAGAACAGATAGATAGATAGATAGATAGATAGAAACAGACTGACAAAGATAGATAGATAGATAGATAGATAGATAGATAGATAGATAGATAGATAGATAGATAGAAACAGACTGACAAAGATAGATAGATAGATAGATAGATAGATAGATAGATAGATAGATAGATAGAAACAGACTGACAAAGATAGATAGATAGATAGATAGATAGATATGAACAGATTGACATAGATAGATAGATAGATAGATAGATAGATAGATAGATAGATAGATAGATATAAAAAGACTGACATAAATAGATAATGAACAAAATTAGATAGATAGATAGATAGATAGATAGATAGATAGATAGATATAAACAGACTGACATAGATAATGAACAGAATTAGATAGATAGATAGATAGATAGATAGATAGATAGATAGATAGATAGATAGATAGATAGATAGATAGATAGATAATGGATAGATATACATTGATAGATAAGAACAGACTGACATAAATTGGTAGATAGATATGAACAGCATATATATATATATATATATATATATATATATATATAGATAGATAGATAGATAGATAGATAGATAGATAGATATGAACTGACTGATATAGATTGATAGATAGATAAGAACAGACTGACATAGATTGATTGACGGATATGAACAGACTGACATTGGTAGATAGCTATCTAGCTAGCTATCTAGATATCTAGCTAGCTAGATAGATAGATAGATAAAACAGAGATAGATTTTGCTAAAAGAATGTAAAGAATAAAAGATAACTCAAACTGCAAGCGAACAATAGAGTGAGAGAGAGACAGACAGACATTTAGAGTTTATTGCTCTATTTCTGTTTTCTGTCTATTGTCTTCCGTAGAGGCAGAATACACATTGGCGTACCTTACCCCGCTCAAATGCGTGCGTTTTCCTCCAACTGAACGCACGTGTTACATACAAAAATATGTCTGCGCTTAATCTCCCTTCTTTCTTGTCGCTGTGAGTGAGAAAATGTGTAGCCGGTCTTCTAAATTAAACTTAAAAGGATTTTGCCCTTCGATACTACTCAAATTAACAGTGGCCTCCGACTCAAAATCCTGTCTTTATTACAATAATATATGAACTGCTCAGCATGTATGAGCTGTTATATATATATATATATATATATATATATATATATATATATATATATATATATATATATATTCCACCGTTTTATTAGACTTTTATTTGACCGACAAGTGTGCTTCTTCTTCTTCATCGAATATATTTTCGATCCTTGTTGCGTCGGCGATCCAGCTTGACGTATTCATTCCAATTTTGACTCTTTTTATCTCTCTATCTATTTTTATTTTATCTTTTCCTTCCTGGTATGATCGTTCAATCAGCGTCTTGATTTTTCACTTCTTTCTCCTTATCTCTCCCTCTCTCTCTCTCTTCACCATATTCTTTCTCCACACACCCCTCTCTTTGTCGCCATTTTCCTTTTCGGTCTCGTTACCTCTCCCATACTGGATCTCATACTTTCTCTTTCCAACTGACTTAGGAAGAACGAGAGAAACGATATCAAGCGTCACTCATTTCCTTTCGTTTTATTTTTTAACGACGTATGTCGGGGAGGGGTCTAACGGCGTCAATTTCAGTCCCTGGGTTCAAACCTTCCCTCCTAATAATAACCAACACTTTCTTATCCTCCGTTTATTCAACATCGAGCTTATTTAGATTCTTATCAATGTTACAGAATCGAGCTATGTAAAACATTGTAACATTGCCTTGATAAAGTCTCTCAGTCAACGAAACGCGTCGGCTAAGTACAGTTTTTCCTCTTGTCGCTTTCTATTCATCTCTCTCTCTCTCTCTCTCTATCTATCTATCTATCTATCTATCTATCTATATATATATATATATATATATAATGGTCAGAGTTGAATTAGACCAGGAAACAGTAGTATTACAAAGTACTTATAAAATATCAAAATTTAAATATGTAGAACTTTAATTATCGTACATATATATATATACATATATATATATGATCGTATATCATGTATATATATATATATATATATATATAAAACATTGTAACATTGCCTTGTCCCTTTTTATTCATATATCTATATCTATATCTATATTCATCTATCTATCTATCTATCTATCTATATATATATATATATATATATATATATATATATATATATATATATATATATAAAAAAATGGTCAGAGTTGAATTAGGCCAGGAAACAGTAGTATTAAAAGTACTTAATACACGTATAAAAAAAAAATTTAACAAAATTTTAAAGATGTATATATATTATATATATATATATATATATATATATATATATATATATATATATATATATATACATCATATATATATATATATTTAACATCATCACTTGATAAGACACCAGAGATGTTGAAACAAAAATGGCTATTTTGTAGTGATTTTATAAAATATTTATGTTATAATTTTCCAAATAATATATATATATATATATATATATATATATATATATATATATATATATATATATATATATATATATATATATCCAAGTATAGGATTAGTGTATACAGAATAAATTGAATAACGAAAAAATACTATTCTTAAAAGAGTGCTCAATACAGAGTAGAGCAATATAATTTATTCGAAAATTATAACAGACACATATATGTATGTGTGTGTCTGTGTGTGTGTGTGTGTGTGTGTGTGTGTGTGTGTGTCTGTGCTTCCGTGGTCTCCGGCGTATGAAGGTCCAGCAACTCAGTTTTTAGAACCGAACAATCAGATGATATGATTTTAGCGGTGAAGGCCTGTGCAGAACCAACCACACTTATCGGAAGAATCAAATCCACCGAACTGATACACTTAGTGTACGTCAAAGGTCTCCAAATAAGCCTCGTCAGGTTTTGAAGTCAGAGTTTCTCTTCTCGTAAACGTGCTACCAACCAAAGTCTCAGAGCCCAGACTGACCTACTTTTTAATCTATAGCTAAGGGGTGACGAAGAGATGTATTCGCAACTTCGCTAGCACATAAACGAATGTAACTACTTCAACTGAATTCGAATCCTTTTCTCTGATTTCTCATTTCAGTGGCTGCCTATTAAACAATCTGCACTTCCACACACACACACACACACATATATATATATATATATATATATATATATATATGTATCTGTGTGTGTGCATGGATAAGCTATACAGGCAGTAAGTATTCATCAAAACAAGTTTGAATAAAAACAACCGACAAGCTCTGTTTGTTTAATTTTTTTACTGCATTTTTCCATTTTTTGAATAAGGTACTGAGCAATGTGTGCGAAATTGATGCCTGTATTGTTGGTTGCTGCCTGCCACACACAGACCCAGCATTGGTTCTTGAAAATGGCTCATACAGTCGAAATTATTTTTTTAAAAAAAGAAGCAATAACACAAGACTTTCGGAAAGTTTATCAACAATTTCGAGTGCAACACCTTATTAGAAAATTGGAATAATTAATAAAATAATCAGACAGACCTCGTTGGTTCTTTTTTTTAATATATATATATATATATATATATATATATATATATATATATATATGTTTAGTTGGATTGATGTGACTTAATCCAACTAAATATATTAGCTCTATCACTGATATTGAGCGCTTTTCAATAAGTAACGCGCATATATAATATATACATTATATATTATAAAATTGCATAGATGTATATATATTTATATTTATATACATACACATTATATATATATATATATATATTTATGAAGAAATAGAGTTTTAAGGTGTGCTATATTTATGGGATAAAGTGCTCAATATCAGAGATTGATAGATATACGTATGTAAATATAAAAGTGAACATTTAAGTCAACACTTAGAGGCGACAGACTGTTTTAGGCCAGACGCAATCGTCAGGGCAGCTTGGCGATTGCGTCTAGTATGAAAAAGCCTGTCGCCTATGAGTGTTGACTTAATGTTCACTTTTTATATATATATATATATATATATATATATAAAGATAGATAGATAGATAGATAGATAGATAGATAGATAGATAGATAGATAGATAGATAGATAGATACCACATGACCAAATGAATATTGATGGGGGAGGGTAATATGGTAGGGGCAACGAGGAGCAATGGGATCACTTGATTTGTTTGCCATCTTCTCTCCAGAGTCAGTAACACGAGACATGCTATACGGGATTACATGGTATCAATGAGAAATCTGTCCAGTAGGGAGAGGTGGATTCATGCCTTTCCCAGTGATTTTTGTGCGAATCAAACACAAAATATCACACCCAGAGTTAAATGCAACTTGTCAGTTCGTCGTACTGTTCACAATATGTTTATGCGTGTGTGTGTGTAGATATGTATGTGCATGGAGTGTGTAGCCGTGTGCTTGCATTACGCTTTCCGTCGTTATTTTTCACTCATTCCTTCTCCTTCGTTTTTTCATATATATATATATATATATATATATATATATATATATATATATATATATATATAAGAGAGAGAGAGAGATAGATAGAGAGAGATAGACAGAGAGAGAGAGAGACAGAGAGAGAGAGGGTGAAAAGAGTGCACAGACCAACACACACATGCCGGGGAAATAAAATATTTGTATTTTCTTTGTGTAAAGCCATGTCTTCAATCTGAGAATATTTGCCTTATAAAAAAAAAGTGAAATGCAGAAATAAATCTATCTATCTCTCTATCTATCTATCTATCTATCTATCTATCTATCTATTTCTGTTCATATTTCTCTCTCTCTCTATCTCTGTTCATATCTATCTATCTATCTATCTATCTATCTATCTATCTATCTATCTATTTCTGTTCATATTTCTCTATCTCTATCTCTATCTATCTATCTATCTATCTATCTATCTATCTATCTATCTATCTATCTATCTATTATTTCTTCATTATCTATTTTTCTCTTATTTTTTACCTATCTGTCAATCTATCTCACTTTTTCATATCTATCTGAATGAGAAAGATAGATATAAAAAAAATGAGATAAATGTAAAAAATGAGATAGATATGAAAACACTGAGATAGATAGATATCTATGTATCTATCTCAGTCTTTTCATATAATTTTTAGAGCTATCTCATTTATATATCTATCTCAATGTTTTCATAACTATCTAATTTTTTTTATACCTCTGTCTGTCTGTTTGCCGCTTTCGCCATCTCTCTCCACCCCACTCTCTCTCTCTCTCTCTCTATATATATATATATATATATATATATATATATATAGTTAGTGAGAGTAAGTGACACTGTGAAAGAGTAAGCGAATGTCCGAACGAGAGAAAGGGAGGAGAAAACAAGTGGGGGAAATGTTTGTCCTACGTCTTTTTTAAAATACAAATCAAATCCAGAAGTATAAACGCATCCCTCTCCCTCCCTCCTTTCTCTCTCTCTCTCTCTTTCTCTCTCTCTCTCTTACTCTAACTGTATCAATTATATAACAAACTGCCACCATACATGTACGGTCACACACTCCCACATACCCCCACAACACCCACACACATAACAGGTTCACACACATATATACTTTGTTTTCATGGCATTTATTCTCTTTCTCTCTATCGCTTACACCCTCTCCACACACTTTTTCTATATTGATATTTACTAAACATAGCATAGTCTGTCTGTCAGCCTGCCTCTTTTCTATATATATATATATATATATATATATATATATATATATATATATATATATATATATATATATATATGGGTATGTTTTCTGCAAATATGACGGATAGGGAAAGCTATCTATCTTGTAAATTTTTATTTATTTAATAGATATACTGTTTTCGTCAGAATGAATTAAACCTGCATAAATGAAGGAGTGATGCCCTAATATAAAATCAGTATGTGTAGTTTTATGTATATATAATATATACAGAGTACAATATATGCGTACATATATACGTACGTACATACATATACACATGCATACATATATATATATATATATATATATATATATATATATATATATATATATATATATGTTCTCAGTATATATCGGAAGTTTTTTTTTTAAATCTTTTTTGTTCTTCTTTATGACTTACGTTTTTTTCGCTTTTGTTATCACCTTCCAAGCTTTATTCTCCTCCTTTTCATTCATCTCTCTTTTCTTTTCTGAGTTTAAATATTTCCGGCGTCTCTCTCTTCTTTCTTTTTAAACTGTTATTTAGCTCCTGTCTTTCGTCATATATTGAACCACACACACACGCACATAGAGAGAGAGAGAGAGAGAGAGAGAGAGAGAGAGAGAGAGAGAGAGAGGTAAACAGACAGAGCGACAGACCGGCTGTTACTCAGATAGATCTTTCAACTGATACGAACGAAGGGAGCTAAACGCATACGCATCCTTTCTGTTGAACATGCGTTTGCGCATGTGCACACATGCATACAAGGACACACAGACAAGCCGCCAGTCATGGTGCTGGATATAGCATGTTCTTGCTGGAAACCATCGCCTGTGAGTTCGATCCCGACTTGGTGCCACAATCATGTGGCCTTGTATGCGATTAAGCTAAGATTTTGTAAATATCTCTGCAAGGACACGGCGACATAGAGAGAAAGGAAAACTTACGAGCTGATTGTTAGGAGAAGGAGCTGATCTGTTGTCGATTCTATAGGTTAAAAAGAATAATCAGCCTACTGACT